TTCCTGCTGTTTTGGCTGGGGATGGGGATGGTAAGAGCAGATAAAGGGGTATGGACAGGAATCATGCCCTTACACCTTCGTGACCAAACACCGTCATCAGCTGATCATCTTGCCCCAGTGCCCTGCTAAGATGGAAAAAAGAAAGGTGAGTCCCAAAAAGTGGGGTCTTGCTTCATAGTTGCCAGTGGCAGATCTGATTAAGTGATGGATGTTGAGGATTACAGAGGTGCACTTATGTTAGCTCCGATTCCTAGTGAAGGAGACATGCTAGGTGAGTGCTGTAAGTGGAGACAGCATTCAGCCATGGCTTTTCAACTTCACAAATCATCTTGGTTAACTAGCTTGATTTACCTGCCTACTACTGACACAAACATACTGAAACAAAAAAAAAATTTGTTTCAGCTCTTGGTCTTAGCCTCCAGATCTAAGAGCTAGGTTTCCCAACTCTGTGTACTTCATTGAAATAATGATAGATTAATTAAACAAACTCTGAGATACTTCCTGCTGCCTACAGGTGCAAATATACTTAGGTGATGCAGCAACATATATCTGCAAACGTTTCCTAAACCCCACTAAAACACATTTCTTTGGATTTTAATATGAAGAGGCAGCTAAGCAGAGGGAGAAAAACTCTGTGGCTCATGGTAATCAGAGTGTTGAAAAGGAGATTAGTACATACAGTGCAGAAGGAACACTTGGAATTTAGGATTTGTTAATAGGTTGGGTTTTTTTAATTAGGCCATTTTCATTCCAGAATTTTGAAAGAGTAAGCATATCATAATGCAAACCCCATGGCAAGAGTATGTAATGTGTTTACTGAGGACCATGCAGCCCTGTATAGGTTGAAGAGGGGCAATGTTGTATCCCATTGCTTTCCAAATAGGAAAAGTCATCTTCATAACCTCAGATCCAATAGGGCAACTTCAGCAGTATGCAAGGCTTTTGAAAAGGTTTTTGGGGAAAGAGGCTATGGAGCCAAATGGACAATAAGATAAAATGAAATATTCCAAACTAACTCTGTCTTTTCCAGGAAAATCATTTCTCTTTTCCAAAAGAAATGTGGTAGACCTACTATAAACACATGAAAGCGTTTAATGTGGTATCACATGAAGATTAAGTTAGCATGAAGCACATGGAAATTAGTAGACAGGTAAGCAGTAGTGGAATAAAGAGAAGATGTCAAAGGTTTGTGCTTAAAGAGAAAGGATAGGCTTTAGCAATATTCCTCAAGATTTGGTCTGCTTTTGTATTTGAAATCATGAGTAGGTTATACCAACCAAATCTGTGGATGATGGACAGAAATAAACTATAGTACAAGAAGAATGGATGAACTGAAGAACTGGGATAATAAAATATGATCCAATTTGATAAGAACGTCAGAGAGAAGCTAGAGAGAAGCTAGAGACTAATACGGATTTCTGCCGTCAGAGCTCACCAGCTGGAAATGGTAGAAAAAGGGAAAAACCTGAATGTATTAGGTGATCACATAACGAGTGTAATCAAGTAGTGTGATGAAATTATGAGAGTCAAGCCAAGTCTAGAAACATCAAGTGGGGTTTCCTACCATGACAGCATGGTTGAGGTTGGAAGGGACCTCTGGAGGTTGTCTGGTCCAACCCCCCTGCTCAAGCAGGATCACCTAGAGCCAATTGCCCTGGAAAATGTCCACATGGCTTTTGACTATCTCCAGGGATGGATATTCCACAACCTTAGTACAGATAGGAAGGTATTGATGCAGAAAAACAGTATACTTTCCTTGGTAATTAATACGTAATTTGGATCACCTCTGTGTAAGGAATCTAGAATTCCTAAAGAGTTAAAATTATCAGGGAATGCTGAGCTGCCTTGTGAGAGAAAACAAAGTGTTTAGTTTGTTTAGCCTTGTAAAAAGACATGAGAGATTTGGGTCTACAGATCCTACTTGCAGGATAGGGTAAAGGAAGGAAGGAGAAGGAAATTAAACTAATTACTAATATCAGTACTAGAATAAAAAGAAGTGGACTAGCCTGAATGAATCTGAGCTGGAAATCAGAAGAAGGTTCCTAATTATGTGGAAATCACCTTCAGGGGTTCATTTTTATTTTAAGATTAAACTTAAGTAGTTTAAGAGAAGGTTTTATGACACAATTGATCTGCAGCCACAATGCTGCTTCTTATTACTCAGCTGATCCCTGTGTCCACTCCCATACTATGTTCTCAACCACTTCTCTGGTTGCCCACGTTCATGCATGCCACGTTTCATCTCTGTGATGCAGTAACAAATGTATACTCCATTCCCTTTATTGTTCCCTCTTGAACTGGTCTCTTTCCTGCAGGGTATGCCTATCTTGAGCCTCACGGCCAATTTCCTCTCCTAATCTGCAGTTATTTCCGCACTGCACAATCTTCCTTGTATCTGAACCACCTTGATCAAATAGCCCTGTATCTGCTGTCCTTCATGCTTTGGAATCAGTTTATACCCCTAGAAGGTTTCTCTTATTTCTCTTTCACCAGGCATTTTGTCTCTGATCTTGCTTACAGTTAGCTTTTTCTTCTGTCTCTAGCCTACTTGTCCAAACATTTTCTCATGATTGCTTATTTCCCACATTGAAATTGGAAGGGGTTTTCTCTGCTTTATAACTTGGGCTAATTAAAGTAAAAACTGAGGACGTAGGGGGAAATACCTTTTTCGAGTTCTGCTTGTGCTGCTGAAGAGCTGTAAGCATGCCAGGACCATGTATCTGAACTGAATCTTTTGGGGATGGCAGGGTTACAGAACAGCCCTCAGGTGCACTATTTTTTCTGAATGGCTGAGGACACTAAGAATCAGTCATGGACCTGCTATCTGTGTTCTTGACCTTGCTGCTCTGCTTTTCCTCCCAGTCCAGGTACATATTGGAGGTGTTTTTCAGACAACTTATTAGGAGGGGAGAGATTATATAGCCAGCTTCCAGCCGCACAGATCTTCTCCACTAAGCAATGAAACGCTGAGTACCTTTTCCAAGATTTAGATAGCTCACTGCTTGTATCCTGAGCTACGTGAGAGGGATGGTGACTGGGCAATCTGCTCCAGTGCCTGTGAGTGGCAGGCACAGAGATCTGTCTACCTGTAACATCTCTCTGTCTCCTAAGATCTCTTGCTATTCCACAATCACATGCTGTATGCAACTGACTGACATTGTGTTCTTACCAGTTACTGGGAGTGGTGACCAGTGTCATCCTGTTGGGTATTACTGATGTGTCGTGATCCCAAGTACTGTAATACTAACAGAGTTTCAGTTGGAGATTTCAGCATTCAGATTCGTTTTAAAGAATGACCATAGTCTTGTCTGCATTACAGTATTCATTCAGGCTTATTGCACATAAGTATAGCTTCAAATCACTGCTGTAAAGATCATCAAGCTAGGAGTTAAGGCACAGGTAAACAAGATTGTTGGCATTGTGCCCAATGGCATCAGCCAAAACAAGTACATTCCTTGCCTAATCTTTGTCCTTTCTTCTATCTCAATCAGACCACCACAACCTATGTATGATGTTCTGTCTGTATCTTTGTTTTTTGGATTCTCTGTCCCAGATGTTGTCACTCCAGCCTTAAGCAGAGCTTTCTGCACCCTACAGCTTTTTCCTGCTATGCTGTTAAAGACTGCGTGTTATGGCAACTGTCTTAGCAAATCTTTTTGTGAGCAGTGTGCTTTGACCAGAGCTGCTTAGAGTCCTGTGCTACCCACTTTCTGCCTTTAGCCTGAAATCTTTTAGCCTAGGCCTGAGACAAGCAGAAAATTTGTGCCCAAATATGGCATGCGTAGGATACCCTGTACAGGGAATTTACGTGTTAAAGCTTATGTACAGTTTTAGGTGTATGTCTGACCCACCCTCTTCTCAGACTCCTACTCGGTCAAATACAGTATGGGATTGGTACAAAGTACATAGTGATGCTAAGTCCTTGCTGTATTGCGTTACTCCCTTCCAAAGCACATGTGTAATAAGTCTCTAAACGAAGTATTGCTGTAATGTAGTGTCATTTTTAGGAGAAAGGGGCTAACAGAAATGGCAACAGCAGCACAGTTGATTGTTTTGGCTGAAGTTCTTTCAAACAAATGCAGCCTGAGGCAGATTCTCAGTTCAGACCAAACACTTCTGTATACAGTCCTTAATTCCTTAAAGACAACTTTAATGCAACATTGACATCAGCTCATTTGTAAAATACATAGCTGTGACCTGGTATTTTGTTGTTCTGGCCCAAACGAGAATAGCTTAGTCAGGTTTGGTTTTTTGGTTTTTCACTTCCTTTCTCACAGTAAAGGTGAGGAAATTTACTTAATTTCTTTATTTTTTAAGGTGAAGCAGAGAACATACTGGACACACAGAGCACTTTGCTAGAATTGCCGAAAGGACCGCTCACTTATGAAGACCTGGAGAAAATCAGAAGATCTCAGAGCAAGTTCTTCATAGAAAAATAGGAAGATGGTATTAGAGCTTAATATCTGAAATGTGGTGGTAATGTGGTGGGTTTGGACGTAAATGAATTATTACAATTTCAGGAAAACTATGAGCTTTTATTAAATCAAAATATAATTCATTTTTTAAATCAGTACTTACTAAAGGAATGATTTTCATATTGTATGTGTCTCTTGAAAATATCCATTGTTGCTGTAGTATATTTTTCTTGTTTAGAATGAAATATTGAATTTCCACTGTCTATCTAGAGTCTGAAAATAACTTTCACCTGTAGTAAAAAGTCTGGTACTGACCAAATTTACTATAATCAACAAAAATAAGTTAATTGGTAGTTACAAATTTGTATAAATACAGACATAATTTTCAAATATATTTAAGGATGCACAGCTCAATTTGAAGGCAGTCAACTTTGAAAAATAAGACACCTTTTATTTGCTGTTCTTTAGGCAGTAAACTCACCATCTCTGCTTCAAATTCTGGAATAAACAGCTTTTATCAGAAGTAGGTTCAGAAGTAAACATGTCACTTGCTAACTGTGTGTTTTACTTGCAGGAAAAACTGTATTAAAGTATGAGCAGAGATAATTTCTGAAAAAGAGAAAACAAATTATGTAGCTATTTCCTGAATCTTTTTCATGCTTGCTTGACATTCTGAAACTCAGGATAATTTGTTTACATGAAATCAGAGTTTCACTACTAAGACGAATATTAACTTCAGCTAACAGCAAGCAAAATTATTAATGTATGTTTTTGTAATGGGCAGATCCAAGGGGCTTTACAAGTACTGAAAAACTGAGGGATTTTTTGCATGCCTTTTAGTATATTTTAGTGTTCTGATGTCACACTTGGCCAAAAAAATGCATCTCTCTGTATTGGAAATCTTGTTTAAAGACAGATTAATTTGTGGTTTGGATGGAAACTCTTCTAGCACTAGTCTAATTGTGAAGTGAAAAGCAAATGCGCAAAAAGCATCCAGTAATGAATTAAGCCTAAGTCTGTATTGACAGTTTATTGAGTTAAAAATTAAATTCCAGCTGGAGATAATGCCCCAAATCTGTTTTTGAAGACTACGTGACTAAAATTAGAATGTCATTAGAATAAGACAGGTGAATGTATAATAAAACAAAAGCTTCTCAATGTAGAAATTAATAGCCATTTCCATAGCTGTGTTAAGATTCATTTCTGAAAGTGCATTCACTTGTGTTTTCAATCACTTCTGTAATTGGTTCTGTCATCTGCGTGTTAATGATACATACAATCTGTCACAGATTTCAAATGTGATGCATCTTAATGTGCAGAGTGATAAAATGGGTTATAGTAGCTTGTTTGGCTGTAATAGCTTGGTGTACATTTTGGATACATTTAGGATTTAAGGCAGTGACTTTAATTGCCTTGGAAGGCATGCCTCAACTCAGCCTGTGCTGCTACCCAAACTCAGCCTATGGTGCTACCCACGTTCTGTGAGCTCACAAAATGCAGCCCGAGACCACCTCAAGTTTCCTGCCTGTCCTATAACGTAATCCCTCACCCCTTGCTGTTGTATTATGTACTGCTTTTAGTACATATGTATCCCTGCTTACTTAATAACAGATCATCTACTACCTTTCCCTCCAAGTTCTGAAGTCCACCTTGGCTTTAACTTGCTTTTGAAGAAGTTATAATAGCCTTTCATGTTTTGATAAAAGAAAAACAATTAAACCAGCTTGTTTGGGTACTTGTATGTCCCCACCTGTGCCTTTTAACCCACCTTTTCATCCTATGAAAGACATTTTTACAAGAGAACAGTTTTAATAGTCTGTACAGCAGTTTTACATACAAATCCTAGAAAAATAGGAAATACCCTAAGCCTATCCACTGTGAATTATAGGAATTCATATCTGTGTGTTTGCAATAGATTGCTGGCTGTGGTGTTGGATCAAAAGGCAGTGTTAAAGGAAGCAAGCAGGCTAAGCAAAATAATGACCCAGATAGCAGTTTTAGGAGATAATAGGATAGCTATTTATTACTCCATCCTAGCTAAATTTGATTTTTTTTTTTCTCAAAGGTTAAACTTAGATCCGTAGTGTTAGTCCATTGCAAGACTCCACACTAAAAAGTGACGGAAATGGGGCAAGTTTAATTCAGTGTTACACAGTGACATCAGGCTCCAAGCAGGACAGTCTAATGCCAAACCCAGAAATGGATTTAAACAGGCTACATAGAACATGCCAAAGATTGTCAAGAAGTTAAGGGTTAGTCACGTTTGCTGCCTTAATTTTTTACTGTTAGCTTTGCTTTTTTCTTGGTGAATGTATGCTTTTGTTTTGAAGATGCTCATTCTTTGTTACTGAGTAGTTATTCTACTGCCAGTGTATTAATCAAAATGCTTGCATGTGCCCAGCCCAGTCTGTCACATAGATACACAGCTACAGCGTGGTTGAACTCTGTGATTTCCTTCAGAGAACAATGGAAGAAAGCAGGAAAGCTTACCTTTGACAAGGGTCTGCTTCAGGGAAATAGATGGTTACAGCTCAAGCTGCCTGCAGTCATTGTACCGGTTGTACTCATAGAAATAAATAAATAAATAAAACACCTAAAACATTCTGCCCCCTTCTGTCATTGGTGCTCAACTGGCTTCAGCTGTAAGACTTACTTTAATATATCACAGCAGCTGTCTTTGTTTTCGTTAATCATTGGGGAAGAGAAGGAAGAATAACTGCGCGGGGGGAGCCAGGGCGGGGGGCTTGTTCTGACCTGAGGGCACTACTCTTACCACCTTAATCTTGTTGGTTTTTCTGGTGGTAATGTCTGATAGCAATGTGTCCTGAATCAGTGTCACTCAGAGCAGGATTCTTCTGGGGAAGTGAGAAGTCAGTCATGATCAGGTTGTCAAAATTAAACTCTCTGTTCTCATTATGGATATGTCTCATTTAGAATCCCAGAAAGTGCATGCTAGTTGCGAGCCACCCCTGCCTGCCCCATGCTTCCCTTGTTAATCTGGTTTTGATGGGATACGTGAGTATTTTTGAGAAAAATTAGCAAAGTTACTTTGGGGGGTCCAGTTTGGGCCCCTTCCTTTATTCCTTGGATGAATGATTTAACTTTTCTGAACATTTCCTTATGACAGAGAAAGGTAATTCTTACAGCCCCTTCCTAAATGTTTTGAAGTTATGATTATGACTGCTTATCATTACTTTTAAAAGTCGAAGGGGAAAGCACTTATGTGGACATACACAAACAAGATTGTTTCTGCATTACTCTTAAATTGCTTACTCAGTCTTGGAATTCATTATATAAAAAAGCTTGGATTTCTTCACCTTTTAACTATTGGCTTTCTTAAAGGCAAAGTGCTTTCTAAAAGCCACAATCACTTTCTGATGAAGCCCTACATGAGATAGCTGGATAACACTGGTACTTAGTCACCAATCACATGCGTGCAGTGGTATTTCACATTTCTTGCAGAATCCTGTCTGGTACTAAGCAAACTTAAGAAATATTTTAAATGCAAGTTTGGGCAACTTTTAAAAACTAAGTAGTTCCTGCAGCAGTGAATTGCATGAATTTGAAATGAAGTCTCTGGAGAAAAGACTGCATTTCTGTCCTACATTTGATCTTCTGTGCAGATTGTCTGACATTTAATGTGTGAATAAGCCCTTCATATCAAAGTATTGTTAAAGGGTATCTTTTTTATTTCGCCACCTGTTTTCAAGAAACATCCTCTACCCTCTATACACTTTGATTGCTGTTGGCCAGCCGATTCAAAATTTAGTGCAAGGGAGAAAAACGGTACAATCATCTTTACCTTATTTTAGGAAACTAAAAAATACAAAACGTTTGCATTGAGACAGCACACTGGACGTACCTATCTTGTGAGATCCTACAGATCATGAATGGAAGTTCCTTTCTTTGCTCTGCTGTTGTCTGTCCTTTATAATACAAACAGTAAGCAGGTGGATGGCTACTTCAGATTGGTTGTATTTAAGTTATTTATTTTGCTCTGCGCATATTGTTTGGAGTAGAAGTAGTTTTTCTAGATGTGACAAACATAAACAAACCTAGCCTCTGACTTGATTTGAATTCATGGCAAATTACTGAGAGATTGCCAGTTTTCTGTATAAAAATCCTGTATGATTTACAGTTGCACAACTAACATAGTGAGTTTCTTTGTAACCTACTATTCAAATCACAGTAGATGTAGTCAAAACCCCAAGATGCAAAGGCAGTGTTACTAAAATATGGCTAGAGGAAAAACACCCTGCTAGTGAAACTGCGTGAAGCATAGTAGCATAAAGCAATGCCAAACTTCTACCAGCTCATTCAGATACGATCCTTATTAAACCTCATTGACTCGCTGCCTGTTGTTGCAGTTTTTAATTGTAGCAAGAGAGCACTCGCAGCCCATGCTTTTCAACAAGAAGAGCAATGAAGAGCGCCGCAGTGCGGGCTCCCCTGAGGAGTTATGAATGTCTTGAAAAGACATTCCCTCCAAGGCCTCTTTGACAACTCGTGCTCTATCACCTACCAACAAGCACCATGGAAGGCATTGTCTTTCACATTCAGTGGCCCTGACGAAGAAGCAGGGCAGGTCAGAAAAACTGGTTTGAACTATTTGTTTTCCAGCCTCTTGAGTGCTTGCCATTTAGCAGCTGTAGTCAGAGGTTACATGCTTCAGACAGTTGCAAAAATGAGGTTCTGACAAAAGAAACTAACCATCATACCTGCCTTTGCTTAGGGATAGTTAGGTGTGGTGCCACAGTAACTGATGGTCCAGTTAAATTTGAAACTAAAGCATGTGGAGAGTCATGAGTTTTCCAGCTAGATTGACAAATCAGCCTGCTAGTTGGGGACCTCTCTCGAAATTCCCTGGTAAAAACTCTGAGAAAGACACATCCGACAATTTGCTGCTTCTAAAGACTGGCTCCAGTATTGGGTATGGGCATCAAAGTGGCGTATAAAATAAATACTATTAGGTTACAAAATAAATAAAGCACCAGGTCAGTCACTGCCTGATTCAAGAGGCACCTTCCTCGTTGCCCTGAAATTGCAACCCCTCATTGCCCTTGCACACGACTACAGCTCTCTGGCCCCTGAAAACAATGGCCTTGCCTAGAGGACTGCTTATGGTCCACAGGTAAGTTCACCTGATGTGG